CATACATACATACATACATACATACATACATACATACATACATACATACATACATACATACATCAAGCTTTTCTTAGGGGGTTCTGCAAATATTGATTTCTCACGTTACCGAAATTGTTCGACGCTGTGATTGTTTCAGTCGTAAACCTTTATTCGAAAAGGTTTTAGTATAGATCTACTAGCGAAGTAACGATGCATCGGGTAGGCGGCGTCTCTTTTACCGACACGTGTCGGTAAAATAAATCGCAGCATCGTCCGTCCGTCTAGTCTTTAACTAAATAGGCTTTCACCTTTTTGTTCGCTCGGTACTAATTAGAAATAGCATGCGCTCAGTTTTCGATATGATCGAATTTTCTAGTATGCATTTGCATGTTGCAGACAAGAATTACGCACAAGGAAAGACGGGGCTGGTTAGCTGCTTTGTGAGCCANTGGAATATACATCAGAAAAACTTACTTATCTACCGATCATAAACCAAAACAACACATTTACAAATGGCGTTTGTGAATTTGTTTTGAAGGTTTGTTGAGTCCCACTAAGGGGAAGTGACGTCACTCCGCCCCCACCAATATCCGTAGCCATCTCGGCCACCGCGATTTGTTCTCGCAAATAAATTTGGAATGAAAATAAATTTGAAATGAAAATGAATTTGGAATGAAAATGTATTTGGAATGGGAATGAAAATGAATTTGGAATGAAAATGAATTTGAAATGAAAATGAATTTGGAATGAAAATGAATTTGGAATGGGAATGAAAATGAATTTGGAATGAAAATGAATTTGAAATAAAAATGAATTTGGAATGAAAATGAATTAAAAATGAATTATAATATAAAATTAATATTCGTAGCCATCTCGGCCACCACACACATGTTGTGGGACGTCTTTAACATAATACAAATATTATACCACATACCGATGACCGGAGTAACCTCCAGGAAAAAATATAATTAGCATGATGTAGTATAGTACGATGCACGTACACTTAGAATCTAAACATCGGATTCACTCATTCACTGACATTGGTTCTCTGATTGTATAATGTAGGCGTTTGATTTCTCCATTTCCTAGGTATATTAACAGCACGCTATCTCTCTCTCTCTCTCTCTCTTCAGCGATGCAGGCTACCAGACTGCCGTTGCTCAGGCAGCTCGATTCCTGCCAATTTGACTGGGAGTATGTATTTACAATGCACCTTCGCAGTTAGATTGGCTACACATATAAGATGCAACCAAATCATTACATATTATAACGGCATAATTTGTTACGTATTATTTCTACACGACTCATATAACTTTACACTCTATATTGTTTATTATCAAAACGACTAGGTTCTAGGAGCCGGTGAACTATTCAGCTCCGGGTGTATACATGCATAATGGTCCCTATCGTTGAGGCTACGGCGTAATGCTGAAGTAATATTGACATAGCGATAAAATTATTGTTAGTCGATTTTATTATGTTTAATCGGTGTATAAATGTTTATGAAAAATAAAACACGAGTTTATCTATGATATATGCATCTACACCCATCGACCGTTGTTCAAAGTAAACACAAAGTAAACAGGTGACTTTCAATGTCAATCTAATTTCACGGCGTCAATAGACAGAACTGTATCGCCTAATATAACAACAGCAATTTGACCGTTTAAAGATGAGGCGTCATGTATACTGAACCGATGTTTTTCTGACCGTCTGTGTAACATTGTATAGAATGTGTCTCGGCCGATAAGCCGTTATAGAGCCGATAAGGCCGATAAACTCGTTGTGCCGTTCCGTTAGCTTAAATCTTCAGATATTAAATAGGATCATTTTTAAAGTAGTTTTGTTCAAAGACAAATAATTCATATCAATGATTTCACATCGTTGTGTTCGGAGGTAAACGTATTATTCTTACTGGCAAGATAATCTGGCGCCAGCATACATCAGCGCTTCTATATGTACCAACAATATCCTAGTACACGCACACACACGCACACCTATAGTGATGGGGGCGCCACGCGAGGATTTGCGGCGCTTCGCTCCTCCCGGCTCCTACATACATGTCGACGACTTCGAAACAGTTGAACAGCTGGCAAACTACCTACAGGAACTGGACGCCGACGATGTGGCCTACAGTAGATACTTCAGGTGGAAGCAACTAGGTGAAGTGATAAAGAATGGCGAAAGCGCATACTGTAGGTTGTGCGAAGCATTGCACGACGCGAATGAACATGTGAAGTGGTACGATCATATCGACACCTGGTGGAGTAAAACCGACTGCGCCGCTTTGCAAAAGGATATTGCAGAAGTAACTGGTAAAGTTTCCAGGAGGAAATTGGAAAATGGGATGTGAATAAACATTGATAAACTATTATTGAGTATTGTATTGTCTCCGTGATTACCAATAAAGGCTATATAGACTATCTACCTGCTAACAGCAACCAAACGCCTGTTTAACACACGCATAGGCACACGGCGCGCGCACACGCACACGCACACATACACGCGCGCACGAACACGCGCGCACGCACACGCATAGGCAAACGGAGCGCACACACGCAAAGGCACACGAACGCACTCACACACACACGATCATGTGACGGAGCGAAGGGCTCCATCGTACGAAGTACGAAGTCCGAAGTACGAGTACATTCGTACGTATGTAGTATTACGAGAGCCCAGCACCTCTCATAACTTTAATATGGAGATGAAAATAACACATTTACACAAAGAATTGCAATTATAGTGATAATATATGTTATATTAATGAGTAAAA